GATCAAGATCAATTAAACGACAATGAATGATAAAAAACACACGAACTCCTCATATTGAAACATAAAATAGGATATCTGAACCCTGTCAAATTACAGCTCTGCTTTTGCTAGAAACGTCAGTAATCGACACTAGACGTCAATTAAGAGGCACAACGTTAGCTTCAGTTTTATTTAGTATGCTCAAAAATGCTGCCGAAATGAATCGTCAACAACGAATGCCATTTGGAAACAATTTTTTTGTGAACAATGTCAAACGAAAACGTTTCACCTATCACTGAAATAATCAATCATTTTATGCAATCACGAGTGACTTATTGCTGTTGTTGTTCATTCGTTGACCTTGCCATTTTATCAGATTTCCAAGTGTTTTTCGTTTGCACCTATCATCGAAGCATCCAGGCAGTAATCATTCATCATGAATCGCTGATTTAAAATGATTGCAAAAATCACTCATAAGCAGTCCACGAAGATCATATTCAACAATTCACCGACGTAATGAATCTTATAAATCGACCTCTTCAGTGAATTACTTCACTTGGAAGATATTAGAATTAAAATTTTGCTTAAATTCTCATCAATCCTCACAATCGTATGAATGCACAAATCTGGTACTGTGCATAGGCAGTTCCTTGTTTGAGCTTCATTCGAGAGCAAAAAGCGATGACAAGTTGTTGAATTGTCGGGTCTTTAGTGTTTCATTCCGAAAATTATGTACAATGAATTCGGTAGCAAAAATACTTCAAACANTGCTAAGAAAATATCATTTCTTTACGATATTCCCAGAAACACCAGTTTATGTCATTATGAAATTACCTGCCGAAATGACTGTACAGTGAACCACATTCAATGCAGTGAATTCATATTGGGCATCCATACTAATGACGGCGCATTTCATAATTTGATTAAAAACCCTTCGCATTAATTCAGAACTCAATGAGGAACTAAGAAACAACCTCAACTTATCGGTTAGAAACACCCTCAGTTGGTTAGAGAAGACGTCTAAAAAATAAATCAAATGAAAATCAGGTTTCTCAAGGTGACGGTTCCATCGAAAATGAATACTGTGTATTTTCTTCATATTTCTGAATGTCAGTCTTAAACGCTTACAACATCACTAATCATAAACCATTCCATGCCAACAACAATAGTTTTTTGTTGCATTCTATTGTGTTGCATTAGTTGAAACAATACGAAATTGAATCTGGCGCATTCACACACGTGAATCGTTACGAGAAATAACCTCAACAGTTAATGGAGCCAATTAGCGATACTTTGCGCTATTTAAGCGAATACGCAATGCGATTTGTTCAGTTTGTTTCAATGAATTTGCATATTGGCACGTAATGATTATTCAGCAAACCGAGATGATCAGACTCAGTTTGTGTTTGAATCGAGTCATTGTGACAGCAGTCGGTGGTTTCGAGTGGNTTGCGAAGGGTTGAAGGTGTGTAGGGTTGTCTGTGGGCGTGTGGTTTGTTCCATGTTGTGATGGGAATTGTTTTCTGAATCAATGTTAACAAATGGGTGTATCGATGGAAAGTGTGAAGTCATGTTGATGACGCAGGTCCGGCATTGGGATTTTTTTGTGCTGAGCATTTTGGTGGTGATGCATTTGGTGGATGTTAGCATAAGGATTGTGCATGAACGATTTGATTTAATCACCTCTGTCGTGTATCAACTGGAAAAACCGTGTTTTAATGTTGACCACCGAAGCAAGAACGAACTGCGGTTCAATGAGCAGCTTCTGTCTCTTAATATTCCTTCGATTACTCTTGACTTTTTCAGTTTTTCCCTTCTCCAGGTGGCTGCCTACATTCGGAACATTGATATCGACCACTCTTAACAGTGAATGAATTTTCACGTGAAACTAATTTTTTGGGCTTGTCATATTGCTTCGTATTCGAAGTGAACGCTTCAGTGCCACTTTTCGTTGCGCTTCACTGTAAAATTTGTAGTTTGTTAAGTACGGCGCGTACTGTACATTGCTTTCAACATGGGGCGATTTAGTTTCGTTTTTNACATCATCGAAAGAGAGCACTTTCATTCCCATTGCATATTTCCCAACTCGGTCCAATTGTCGAGATTCGTACACCGTCACAGTCGATGTGCGGGCCGCATTCAGCTACTGCCTGTGCAAAGCAGTAGTTCGAAAATGTGGTATCATTCTTGTGTAAATGTGGATTTTTAATAACGCACACATTCGTTTGATAGCGGACGTATGAAACTTCTATGAACTTAAAACAGAGACGTGATGGTCTAATGTTAACTATATTAAGGCAAACTTCTCGACCACTGATAAAATGGCAAAACTTTTGGCTGGAAAGTTTGGCGTTATTACTGGTGATTATCTCATTTTCTTGTAGGCTAGGAATGAGTGATCTAGTACATTGGTATACTCTCCGTTGTTGAGTTGAGTAACTCGCTCGTCTAAGTACTTTTAATCAATTTAGTTTCCGCAAAGGTCTTGTTTATTCCAGTTCTCCGGTGCCGAGATGCTTAAGGTCTGGTTTTATTAACTCTTGACTGAGTTTATTCAGTGAGCTTCAAGTCATCACTAGGCTCGAATGTTAAGCTGAGTGATTTGTTTTCTTTTTTCAAAGGTGGTGGTAGTGGACTTGGACGTGCCATCTGCAACCGCCTGGCCGAACACGGCGCGAAGCTTATTGTCGTGGACAAATTCCCGAAATCTGCTGAGGATGTTTGCGCTAAACTCCCAGCTCCTAGTAAGCTAATATTTCATAAGTACTTTTTAGTAATTGCTGTAAATCAGTGATGTTTTGTCACTGTAAAGACATCATGTATTGTGAAGTAATTATTCTTAATTGGCGCCGTATTAATTACAGCTGAGGGGAAGCACGTTCCTTTCGTATGTGACGTTGCACACATGTCTGAAGTGAAGAAACTGTTCGAGTTTGCGTCCAAACAGCACAGCACTCCCCCGAATGTGGTTGTCAATTCGGCTGGTATCATCAGGGATGCGGAGGTGCTGAAAATGACCGAGGAACAATGGGATGAAGTGCTCAACATCAATCTGAGGGGAACCTTCCTGGTAAATTCATTCCTTCGATATGGTTGTGACTCGTTTCGTGACTGTGTGAATCTGCATGGCTTTCGGATTCCACAAAAATGTATTCGTGCATGTCGGTGAAAGAAACAGCTGAATAATAATCGAATGCGTGATTTATAGGTCACCCAAATCTTCGCGCGAGCAGCTGTGGCAAGCAATACTCCTCAGTCGATTATCAACATCGCGTCGATTATCGGCAAAATGGGTGCAGCTGAACGGGTGAACTACGCAGCTTCTAAGGTTGCTTATCCGTTGATTACAGCTGAGGGGAAGCATCCGTTGGAATTGTCTGCTTCGGGTTGATTTTGTCTCGCGCATAACAATATTGGATTTGCGAACTGTTTAGAAGTTATTCCCTAGCTCAGTGAGCAATCACTACTTACGTTTAATTTCAGCAGGGTCATTTTTTTTCAAAATTCTGAACCAATTTTTATGATTTACTGTTGTTCGATTCAGTCCGGCGTGATTGGTTTCTCGAAATCAACGGCAGCCGCATTGGCTAGGACTAGTGTTCGTGTGAACTCTCTTCTTCCCGGTTACATCATCTCGCCTATGACTGATGGCATCGAGGACAAGGTTTCTTTTGTCTTCGTGCTGAAGATATTCTATCGGCCTAGATTCTATGAGATCAATATTTTGACGTATAGCAGGGAATTTGGAGTTTGTTCAGAGACTCGTTCTGAATGAATGTTTCGTTTTGAATGAATTCAAGGAAGTCATGTTGTTCACATACTCACCGTTTATCACCTGCTCATTTCAGTTGCTGAAAGCGGCTTGTGAAAAAATTCCTATGGGACGTATGGGTAAGCCAGAAGAGATCGCGGATGCTGTACTGTACTTGGCATCGGATCTTTCGTCATATGTGACAGGTACAGCGTTGGAAGTGGCTGGTGGACTTGGCATGTGAAGTGATATCTGTCAACATATATTGACGATGAATAACAAACATTATTGTTGTTGTTGACGAGTTTTGTTTGGTTGTTTTTATTATTGTTTTTACTAATAATACGACTGATAATATTTGCTTGTGCCTTGATGATTTTTAATACAATAAACTTGTGCACTTTCTGATACACTGTTTATCATTTGACACGAGTTATCCACTTGGTATTCGATGAGGGTTCGCCGTTGGACAGTTGATTGGGGTGGTTTTGATGCAATTCACATGTTCTGTTGAGATTGCGGACATCACAATGACATAGATGGACTGTCGTAGCAGTCTAATAATGATGTTTTTATCAGTTGAGTCAACGAGAAACTTACTGCATAGTTCAGCTCTCAGAAATCTCGCTAAGGTGGTTCACATAACACACAGATAAGTAAAACCACAGTAATTTCTCGTCATGAGTTAAAGTGATTTATCATTCGCCTTATTGTTGCATGCATGCGTGGCAAGCAGTGATTCCAGGCTCTGGAACCGGAAAAATGCTTCGCTTCTGTCGAGTATTATTGAGTGACAGTTCCCGGTCAGATTCGTAGCGCTACTCCATCGTAATTCATCATCGCTAATGAATAACATTTCAACAGTAAGGCGCTATCATGGTTGAAAGCATAAGATCACAGTGCAAGATAAACTCTTCAATCGTTTACCAACCATTCAGTGTGTTTGCCAAAAAAATGCGCAAGGAACACTTCAGTCATCCACTAATGTTCAATTGTAGGTGTTCAATCGCTAAACACGTAAGTGTTTGTTTTGCAATGAATATCGCACTTAATGCTCGATACAGTTAATTCTTAGGAACAAGTCAATGTAATAGTGTTGAAAAATACCGATCTCGTTACTTCAGAGTGATTTCTTATGACTATGTTGATTACCTCGTTGACAATTGTTGTTTTGCACTACACAGTAGAAACTGAACGAAAAAACATTTGTCAAACCTAATTCACATGCGTTCCTTTCTATCGCCTCAGCAAAAGCGTCGTCTTATCTTATCAAGAGGGTGTTGAGAAAACAGTAAAACAAACGAATCAATCATGTGCTTTTTTTAAAGGATTTATTCATCGAAGATAGGAGAGTAGTTTCATCGTAATCGAGCATTTTCATCCATTAACCCCTTCATCAATCCATCATTTTGTTGATCACAGCTCAACAATATGTATCTGTTACTATTTATGAGAGTATTATGTAAACATTCTCGATGTTCACTGCTAACAGATACCGTTTATGAGTGACATTCGATGTTTGAACAAAAATCTTTCGAACGATTCGCCATTTGAAGCAAATGATCATTCTTTGACCTAGCGCAATCACTATCAATCAACATGAACAATCTGCACACAATCTGTATGGCTCATGTTATCAATGATAATCGTGACGCATTCAATAAAACAAATACTGTTCAACGATAAAAGTGATGCAATACACCTGTTGACAGAAGAGCGCTTATCAATGGTTATCAGTGGTTTACTTATCTCGATTCTGTTTTTTTAAAACCCAGAAACTTATTGCCGCTCTCATAGTTGAAGGTTCATAATCGTCGTATTTTAGCAGAGTGGATTTTTTTAGCGACTATTGCAGTTTGCAATCACATTGATTTGTTGCTTCCTAGGATTTATTACACTGATAAAATGATATATGGTGCTTTTATTGGTTATTCTCACCCTTCCACTGACAGTATTTTGAGCACCTCCCGAAACTGAGCACAGCTTTCAAAGATTCTAATGAATTATCAGTTCATTCCAATTTCATGAGATTCATCGCACAACAATCAAAGAACTATCGCCTAGTTTTTGTCCGCTAGCGTTCACTGTATTCGATTGCTTTCAAATCCTATTGCTGTTCTTCGACTCTGAATCAATACATTCGTACTGTTGAATGAACAAGTAGCATAGAATAAATATACATATAGTTGAATGAGAACTAGAACTGGAAATGCTGTTGATATTGGGCTTACGATTGCTCGGCCGCTCCCACCGAATGACACACTAATCACTTGCCAATCCCCTATATGATTTGGTTGATTATGCTCAAACGTAATAATATCGTTGACTGTGGTGAAAGATTGTACTATATACCTGTCATCGAAAATAATTTTCAAAGTTCCATTTCTATTCATTCCATTAGTATGTTCATTGAGTCATCAAACTCTTCACGTGAACGTCTGGTCAACACCTCATCAGATTCAAGGAATTCCTTTGAAATAATCACACCATATAAGCGTTATCGTCAACCCAACTAGCCATATAAACTCATGTGATGCTTTTTTCTTGGTGATTCGGTGAGAACGTGATAGAATCGTGATGGTTTCAGTTCGAGATTGCTTGGGAAAACCGATTTTTTTTCATTCGTTCTCCACGATGCTTATCATCATTCGGATGCGAGCATGCACTGAATTTGTTCACAATTGAAATTTTCTCGCAAAATAATCATTATGCAGGAAGTGCGAAGCGCAATGTTTCTCGCAGATTGCGTTCAACATGTCGCTGTGGCTGCCTTTGGAATGGGCTCGTGGCTGAGCGTGAACGCAGTTTACGTGCAATTACCTCTGCTTATTTATATTGTCAGTATTTTTGCTTTTTTTTCTGTTTATTTATTTTTTTCGCATAGACTCCAATTTTCAGATGAACTCAGATTTCCTATAAGAATTTAGGATTCATCTAACATAAGAGCGTTTTTCATCAGTCACATACCATCATTCTGAAAGCCACTTACAAGATATGAAAGGAACGAAAATTCAATGATTTCATTTGCTCTGTCCAAACGAACTGAAATGTTGCAGGTACCAGAAGGCTGGAATCTAGCCACTTACATCGTTTTACTCGTTCAAATTGCCTGTATTGCACCTCTCATCTATGGCATATTAGATATACTGATGGAATGCATCTCAAACAAGGTATACATATAAATCACTTCTGAGTCGTTTCGTTCCGTTCGAATTTGCTCATCGCATGCTGAATAAATGTCGACACTTCTAAATTCAGCAATCAATTACTGCAAGTTTAGACGTGGAAAAGATATAATCAAATGGTTCTCATTCCGATCATGCTCGTTCTGTCCGGATTTGGCCTTCTGATGGCTGCGTTCACGTATGACCAACCTGTCGTTATAGACAATGCCAAGGTTTCTGATCCCAAATTTCATCTGTTAACAACAGTTATATTAATGATAACGATAAAAACAATCAAAGTAATATGAATAACAATTCTGACTGCAGCAATGTTATTGTTTTCGGTAACAGTGCAATAGTAATGAGAGTAATTTTTCAGATTATATTGACTAAAAAACAATAAAATAAATGGTAACGGTAATATTTATTTGAAAACAATGATAACAATAATATCAGTCACATAAATAACAATACAGCAGCAAAAACATTTTTTCACTTGTACTTTCTAATTCATGCAAAACAGACGAGATACTAGTGGTTACGGAGATCAGGGAATCTCATGAAACATGTCCCCGAATCCCCGTTCTCAACTCTTTTCGAGCCAACCACATTTTCGAGTGCGAAATTCTGTCTCCAACTTGCTCTGTTCGCAACTTCTCCCTCCCTGCAACACCACTTCAGATACTTTACAAAAGTGTAAGTGTAAGTGTTTCTTTCCAGCACAGTTATTGGCTGTTTGTCGCAATATTGATCATGTCAATTCCGTGTACAACCGCAGATGTACTCTTTCTACCGTACATAACGAAACTCGAGAATTTTAAATACGTTACGACATTTTTTATCGGAATGGGTCTCAGTGCACTGCTGCCGAGTACAGTCTCACTCATACAAGGTTATTGTCATCGCAATACTGTTATTCACATCAATATTTTTAAAATTCGCTTGAAGTTTTCCATCCAAAAGAAGAGCACATCCAAAACATTCATCGAATAAACCAATCGAAACCAAAATATAGCGCCAAAATGATGCTAACATCCAGTGAAAAATGAACGAATAGTCAAATGAATACAATATTCACCGTAAATGCTTGATGTCGAATTGCTGCAGTTCTCCGAAGAGATGGACAGTATGTAATATATAGTATTGGGAAATAATGAAGTGTGAAGAATTGTACAGCATATGAAATTGAACATAAGGCTGCCGATATTTTCATAGTAAATTTGATATCTTCATTTGAATGTCTGATGGCCAATTTGAGGTGCGTCTGCAAATCTCAACGGTACTGTACCGAATGCATGGGGATCGACAGAGGGCAGTGTTTTGTTTGGCCCGAGATCGTATCTCGTCATAATGGTTGCTCTCACTTTTGTCTCGCTTTTAGGTGAGTTCATTCCCATTGAGGAAGCGTTCTGTAATTGAACATTTCCCTTTTTACTGTTCTTAAACTGATTGTCTAGTCGTTCAGAACTGAAACCGATTGATGTTCGATTATTTGCTTTTATCATTGAAACGTTCAGCGTAAATATTCCACAGATTTCTCGTCAGACTATCGATATTTCAGGATTTGTTGTAATTTGCTTTAAAACAAACAATAGGAACGATGAAACGAATTCACTAAAGTCGAAGAAATCGCCGTCTCATTCGATTTGTCAGATCGACTTGAAGATACCAGAAGGAACGAAAAGTGTCAGTTGTTCAAGCTTTTAGAATTTACTCGTTTCGAGAATTTTTGCCCAAATGTTTGCATAACTGCTCAAAGCAATGCATCGTAACATCTCTTCAGCATTTTTTTCATATGATCGTTGCAGATTGAACTGAAATTTTCATAGTTTTGAGGCGCATCATTAAAATCATGATGAGTTGGTAAATTAGGGAATATATTATGGTTGCGAAAGGTTCAGAGGGGATTTTTAGAATTTTTGCGTTTGGGAAACCTTTCATTCAGAACAGGTCGTGAATTCCATGCGCAACTCAACAATTGAAAACTTACTGGAGAAGAGTGAGCATTTCACGCTTTTGTGGTGTTGCTGCTAAAATTTCATGTGTACATCTCAGGTATCTGTATAAAATTAATTTTCAGTATTCTTACAATGTGTCACAGGTGGAATCGCNTAAAATCTCATGTGCACATCTCAGGTATCTGTATAAAATTAATTTTCAGTATTCTTACAATGTGTCACAGGTGGAATCGCCAGAAATGCCGGTGGAAATTTCGACGACCGCATGGGTTCTCCTGTTAACAATTACTCTCCTTTTGGGTGCTCTTCAAAATGCAGTCATTCCATCTATTCAACCCTTCGTCACTATGCCATACGGACAACATGTAGCGCTTTGAATCCATTGTTTCCGAAAATGTTCTTTCATAATCAGTAGTCCAAAACGTTTCGGTTCTGCGGACTTCATTCATAAGAAGCAACAAAAAGAGCACTGTTGAACTCACTTCTCGTTCTTATTAAGCATTTCTGAATTAGCATCATCTCAATGATCTCATGCGATATTTAGATTTATTTCTGGTCAACTCTACTAACAGTCATGATGAATCCAATATTCTGCTTCTTGCAATTCTGCATTGCCTTCAAAAACACTTGTTTCTTCATTATATGGGCAAGTGTAAGTTTTGCATTGGTGGCATTCGCTTTCACTATGGCATTGGTTGGAAAGGTCGATGGCCTCGCACCAGTGTTGTTGGTCAGTGGATTAACTGTAGTTTTACACTTCAAATACATTCCAATGTTCATTTCTCAAAACAAGGGCAGTTTCGATGTGCTGAAAAAGATATCCTTCTCTCACATGAAAGCTCTATCCCTTCCATATGAATGGAGTTGATGCGTAGCACGCATAATCTAAGATGTAGTCAAGCACGCAAAGCGTTGAGTAATTGAATGTGAAGTCGTTCATCGAGGAACGATTTTAGAAGTACCAAAAATGCTCTGATAATAACGAGAATATTGTACGTGNCATATTGAATCTATTCATAGTTAGGTATAATTTCTTGTCGCATCATCAAATCAAAACACAACTTGCTTGTTGCATAGAACATGCTTCGTATTTGACTTCATTCATAAACCACGACTCATTCCTCTACGATAGAGTTTATAAGCAACAGTTATTGCAAAACATTCACTAAACCTCATCATAACATCGATACAGTTTATCCTAATCAGCTCTACATCAACTGAAGAATACCAGTTTCAAACGTCTACAACTGCGACCAAAAACATGAACACCTTCATTTCGACACTGAAGTGAAACCTGAAACTTATGCGTAGCCACAATCTGTTGCATTTGGTTTTCCCGTGTAGCTGAAGTTCCATCTGATCATCTCGATTACAGGTTGTGTTCGGGCTGAGTTCAGGTCTTATCTCTTGGGAACGAACTGCAATCGCGCAAATACTTCGTCAGACAAGTACTGCTCGTGGTCTTTTCTGGTGTGGTGCTTTCACGCAGATCGGTTCTTTTATTGGTGCATTGACGATGTTCGTTTTGACCGAAGTAGTGGGAATATTCAGAAAACAATGAATGTGCATATCATTAAATCACTGCCAGTTCAGCACCGTTTGAATTTTGGTCGATTAGTTCATTGCAATCTGGTAGCATAATATCAAGGATAAAACGATATTATGTTGCCAATTTTCAATTCAACTATTAATCGGTACTTGTACATAGGAAGAAGCATTCACTACCTCATTTCGTTCATGTGCGAATGCGTTGTAACGCAAACGTTATGATATTTGCTATCACAAATTCCGATGAGCTCGTCAATGATTTGAACAATTCGACATTCGACATTCATTGCTGTTGTAGCAGTGGCATCTGACTGTTCTTCTGATTGTCGAGTGTCGACTGCTCAGGCTAAAAATTCATAGCTGCTCTCAGAAGTAGGTTGGGATTGTTCGAACTGTTTTATGCGATGCATTGGTATTTATCAGTGAGTTAGTCTAGTGTTCGAAATAATGCCCTTCGTAAGCTTAGATCCGTTTTATCGTTATTGTCAGATGTCGTTATAGTAGTTCGCCATTGTCTTGAATTTCCATTTAAAGTGAATAAAAATTCGGTGCTGTTGTTGTAGACATTACACTATTTGATGATAATTGATCAAATACAAATGTTTTGATCGTAATCAAATCACGCAAAGATGGTGATTGACTGGGAAAAGGCAGATTTCAGCCTATCTGGTTATCACGCGCTGGTGTTTCTGGCAATTTTCAGTTGTCGCTAGGTCAGGTGAACAACTCGGATGAGGCGATTTACAAAAGCCGAGAGCCGTTATCATACCCTCTACAGCATAAACATCATTAGCAAAGAC